TAAGGTAATAAAGTAGGACTATCTTTTCAGTGAATGAATTGCAAATAGTAAAGAGAAATCACATTTATGGAACATAAAGGAAAGGTCTCAAGATTTCCTGTGCAATAAGCATTCTTGCAAGGAGACCTGGGCCAAAGTAAATAACTAGTGTTAGTTCAGATTGCTTAGACGTGAATGAAAATTCCAGCATCACACTGCCTGTTAGAATGGCACATCCTATTGGTTTACAGTCAAAGTGTTCTATGAAGAAAATATTTCACACCCGAGAAAGCTGCTGTGGGGTTCACTAAGCAATGTAATATATTTCTTATTCATCAATCCTCCTACCCTTGCCAAATGCTTTCTAGACACACCAAGAAAGAGTGGAATTTTTTTTTAAAGGTAATTGTAACAAATGGGCTTCCTCAGAAGTGAAAATTACTCATCTAGGAAAGGAAAAACATTACCTTTTTAAAATCTACCCACCTCTTTTATCAAATATACCCCATCGTAATAAAAAATAACTTTCCAGATGTTTGTATTATCATTAAATATTCCTAAAAATCTTTTTAGAAAATAACTTACTTTTTAAAAAATGTTACTACTTTATTTATACTCTTAATGGTTTATAAATAAAGTATTTATCTAGACAATGACATTAAAACTCATTTTCAAGTAATAGACAAAAATGATTCAGTACAACAGTTCCTAACCTCTCACCACACCTCCAGTTTGTCACCAAGGCAAGGTGGTCCTATTGTAACACTACCCACTAGAAGCAGACTCCTCCAGGAAAACTCTGCTCCCTGATCCACCCTTACACATCGCTGGGTCTATACGGTAATACTTACTAATCCCTAAGACTTTGTCAACTCTTTGGCTGAAGCTATAATTCGGTGAATGGAAGAAAAACTACTCTAGTATGGTGGGAAAGGGTCAAAACACAACAAACCGAATTTCTATCAACATAAACATTTATGTCACCAGAAAAAAAAGCCTGATATCTTATTTGGCACTTTTAAACCAAGAACTTGTAAAATATTTATTTTTTAAAATATATTGTTATTGATTTTAGAGGAGGGGGAAAGAGGGTGGAGAGGGAGAGAAGGAGGGGGGGGGGAGAGAGAGAGAGAGAGAGAGAGAGAGAGAGAGAGAGAGATCAATGCTGAGAGAAAATCACCATCAGCTGCTTCCCGCATCCTGCATGTCCCACACTGGGGATGGAGCCCACAACCCAGGCATGTGCACTGACCAGGAATTGAACTGTGACCTCCTGTTTCATAGGTAGATGCTCAACCATCAAACCATTCCAGCTAGGCAAATATGTTTTATTTTATAGTAAATTTTCAAGACTCACTCGATCATTCTAGGTGACTGAAGTGAAAGCATAGGATATGCAATGCAAAACAAGGTGGGGGGGGGGGGAGAATTAAGTGAAGTGAATTAAGTGGCAGTATGCACAAGTCCTTTTTCCAAGAATGCTAAATAGAAATAATTTCTGGCATACCAACTAAGTTTTTATATGGTACAGGCATGGACATTCTATACCCCAAAGAAGCTTGTTTTAAATAAAGTTGAATACAATAAATGCTTTCTAATATCAAAGTAAAAGAATTGAAATTCACTAATGGGGAGGAAAGGGCAGGAAATCCTTTATTAATTCAGTAGGAAATAAATGCCTATTTATATTCAAGGAACTTTTTTTTTGTCCCCCCCCCCCCACTCTCTTAAGTCAATGTTACTAATGATTTCAAGGAAGTAATTTGTGAATAGAATCGGGGTCCAGTGAGTAATTTTAAAACCCAGGTGTTATATATGATAAATTAATCACCCACTCGCTGTAATTTTTAAAACATTTTTCTTAAGATTTTTGTGATACTGCTAATGTCAACAATTCAAGCAGGTTTGAGAAGCAATTTGCAAGGTAATGAAGTGAATGAGAGAGAGAGAGAGAAAGAGAGAGAGAGAGAGAGAGAGAGAGAGAGAGAGAGAGAGAGAGAGAGAGAGAGAAATGTACAATGACCATGATATCCAACATCTTATAAAGAAACCAAAGATGCTGCCAACAGTGGAGATACAGGAAAACATTTATTCAAAAGAAGTTGGCTGAATTTTTTCTAAAAACTCTTCTTTCTGTAGATAACACCTGATTTTGGCATTTGGCTATTTTTTTAATGGTAAACATAGGGAATTTTTTTACAATACTGTAAAGGTGGCATGTGTTTGGTGCCACAATGAAACACTTCTATGCGGTCTATCTCAGTAGTCTTTTGCTGTTCCACCCACTTAAAATAACTCGCTAGAAAAAACAAGTCACTTCCTCCTTGTCCCGCACAGAGAACACTGCACTGTGTGAGGCAGCTGTGAAGACTGCTGCATTTCACCTCTGAGCAGAAATAACTGGAGACGTGACTTCAGGGTTTCTGCTCAGGGGGAGAGAATGAGGCGGTTAGTTTAAATGCTAAGAGCAAAAAGAGGAGGTGCTCTCAGCCCACTGACCACTCGAAAGCTAGAAGCTAGCCCCTCACTGGTGTATTTCCCCCTGAATGGAGGAAGACTAGGATTTGTGAATGTGTGTGCATGTATTCTGAATTGTATCCAGGCATGTCTGTGTAATGTGGGAAAAGAGAGGTCAAGATGGTAATAACGGTGAAGGATAGTAAGATCTGAGAAACTCCAAAAGTAGTATCCCAGAATCGGAGGATTTCTAATGACACAGTAGGAAAAGCAGAGTCTGATACAACAGAAATACCCTTATTCAAGTTTGGTGAAAAATTACATCCTTTAGAAAGCCTTAGAAATAACCAGGGGCCAGGAATAATTTATGCTGCTCGAGAAGAAATATTGCTTCCCCCTATTACTACTAATGCAATATGCACGTGGAAGCTGGCGAGATGGAACAAACTGGTGACACAGTAAACGTTTATACTCACAAGGCGACCACAGTAGACACAAGATGGCTTTAAAAAATTCAGAGTGAACAAATAAAATGCCTTTTGTTTAATAACTGAACCCCCCCTCCTTTATTGCTCATCCATTGTCCAGTTTGTTACTTTAAACATGTATTATTTATTTTAAAGTTCATATACTTTATCTTAATCCTCATAATAATCCTACAAAGTATTATTAACCTTATACTATAGATTAAAAAAAATACCCCAAGACTTAGAGATGTTGATCTACATGCCACTGAAGCTGCTGAGCTGTTTTAACCCAATACCGTCCCACCCCTGAGTCTTGATGGGCTTGGGCCATAAGCAGTACTCCTTCATGTTAAGAAGGATATTTGGAAAGTGTGATTTAGATCTGTGCTCCCACAAAGGTTAGAGATTGAAGCCTTAACCTCTAGTATTTCAGAAGGTGTTGTATTTGGGAATTGGGCTTTTAAAGAGGTGATTATGTTAAAATGAGGCCAGTAGAGAATATAGTCCTTGATCTAATCTGACTGGTGTCCTGATAGGAAGAGGGAGCCAGCATACGGACACATCACAGGGAAAAGACCATCTGAGGACACAGCAAGAGGGCAGCCATCGGCAAGCCAAGCAGAGAGTTCTCAAGACTGAAACCAACCATGATAACACCCTAGTTTTGGACTTCTAGTCTCCATTTCTGATGTGAAATTTCTGATGTGAAAGCCACCTAGGCTGTGGCATTTTGTTGTGGCAGCCCTAAGAAACTCAAATAGGGGCAGAGAAGAAGAGGTCATCAGGTGTAGTATCAAACACAGACTGCGTAAGTAACAGCAGCAACTCTGTTGTTCAAAACTGGCCTGAGGGTTGTTCCAGACGCTGGCCTTTCCTGGAAGCAGGAATGAATTCCACCCCTGGGGGCACTGACAGATGGCGGCTATCCCTGCCAGGCACACTCCTTCCAGCCTATTCCCCTCACACCGCTGTGTCCACCTCTTCTCACTCCCCCTCACAGACCATGGCTGAAATGTCCCCACAAGGCCAACATACACACTCTAAGGAGCAAGGGACATGATAAATGAAAGGCATTTCAAAGCAGAGCCTGGTGTTGTTACCTCAGATCTTGCTAGAATAACATGACATTTATAAAAACACAGCCCACTCGGTATTTGGCACTGCTTGGGAATGAAGAATGTGGCCACTTAAGAACCTAGAAAGGCTGTCAGAGAAATCTCAAGCCAGAATTTCTTGTACAAACATTACCTATCCTTAAAAATTCTATAGTCTCCGCAGTCAAGAAAATATATCTACTTATTTACCAGTCTCCCTTTGCCTAAACATAAAAATACATAAGCCATATATAAGAACAAGTGAAATGCTTAGGGCAGGCACATGGATGGAACAGCTCTGTGCATCTGGTTAAAGCCTCAACACTGCCAGCCTTGGCCTGGATCACCTTCACACACACACACACACACACACACACACACACACACTCCTACACAGGGCTCACACACCACCAATGCTGGCCACCCCAACACACACCCAGTCAGAGCTCACACACCACCAATTCTGGCCACTTCCAATCCCAGCACACACTGAAGGGGGTTATTTACGGATTGCTTTCTCAGATACCAGCCAAACAATGTTCCCGTTCACTTTGTCACCCACCTTCCATTATACAACATTCAACACCTGGGAGGCTACACTCAGCCCCTACGGCATATACCAAGGGTGAGCCGTCACCAAGGTATTCTCCACAAGCAAAAAGGACTTGCTAGCTTCCCTCTGAGGTCTGGGCCCTGAAAGACCAACTGTGGAACGTCTGAGTTTCCCTCAGGCCTGGTGCTTGCTGTCTGCTGTGAGGTTCGGTCAGAATCCTAGGGCCCCACTGTCCTATACACATCTCGGCCTTCTGTGGGGAGCCGCTCACCTAAGCCTTACGTCTTGGAGCTGAAAACATGCTATGTGAGAACCGCAGGATGAATGTTAGGTGACATTCATGCAACACAGGGGACCCCTCTTGGCTCCAGACCAGTGATTGCTCTAAATAAGCATGTATATTCACATGAACACAACCAGAACAGGATGGAAGGCCCAGCATTTCCTTACCATGTGCCACCCAGCCATGTTTGCACTGGTCGCAAGTCCGCAGGTTAATCTTCCCCGGCTGAAAACATTCGCACGTGCAGTTTACCAGTGTGCATCGGATGGCCTGGAAAGGAAAGGAGGAAAAGGAGAGTCAGCATCTGTTCGAAGGCACATTTCTTCCACGTCTTACTAAGAAGCAACCACTTCCAGGTTTCAAGTCTTCATGTTGGAACGGGCCTGGAGAGCTTTGTGATACCATCAAAACCTCATAAAAACAAGATGCATTCACAAAGAGAGTATTTCATGCCATTCATGTGTAACCTTTAAATGAAAACCATAGAGTAGAATAAGAATAAAGGATTACTTATCCAAAAAGATGCTGCTTTTTTAAAAAAAAAATATTTTTATTGATTTCAGAGAGGAAGGGAGAGGGAGAGAGAGAAACATCAATGATAAGAGAGAATCATTGCCTGTACAACTGCACTGGGGATTCAGCTCAAAACCCAGGCAAGTGTCCTTGACCGGAATCAAACCCGGGACCCCAGTCTGCAGGCCAATGCTCCATCCACTGAGCCAATCCAGCTAGGGCAAGATGCTGGATTTGTAATACCAGGATCCCAAAAAGGAAAAAAACACACACACAAAAAAAACACATATTTCTGCTATTTCTGTTTAAGTTTATCCATTTGGCAGGAATGCAAAAATTATACATTCAAATATGATAATGTTCAAGTGAAATGTTGATGAAAGCAAAACAAAACACACAAATGTTAGTAGATTATTACTATTCTTCTGCTGAGTTCCACTTAAATACTTCGTTAAATCTTTCAGAGACATGGTGAAAGACACTCCCATTGGCCCAATAAGACCTAGTATACTATATATTTCCAGTATTATCTATCACTTCCCAATCCTTGTTTTCCCCCACTTGATATATTTATTCCACTTTCATTCCTATTTTGACAAATACAAAACAACTCCCCTCCCCCCATATTTTAAGAAAATAAGTCTAAATTTATTTTAAGAACAGAGGTAAAATAGGAAAAGCCATTTATGGGAACATTTTATATCTGGAACAACCCAACTGTACCTTAGAAAACTGAAAAACACGCTAAAAAATCTTTCATTTCTTTACAAGTACTTGTAAAAAATCATCTCACCAATTTATATGATCAAGTGAATGCACAGAAAATTAGCATAAATGAAGTGTAACTTTTTTTATGGATAAAAACCTATACTTAAGAAGTGTGCTAAAGCTGACCTATGCTCCTAGACTACAGTTAATAAATGTATCTCATAGATTTCCTTCTAATTTGCATGGAAATTCTGAAGACAGAAGGAATTTAGTCCGATCATTCACAGATTAACAATCTACTGTAACTACCTGAACTGCCAGGAAAAGATCTCTCAGCAGCTTCACATGTAATCAATGATTGCTGATTTGGGGGAAAGAGGGAGAGGGGGCAGAGGATCTACCTGCAACTGCAATTCTGTGCCTCCAAGCTCTGCACACTTGCACCCCCAGGTGCTCATCTTCCTGGAATCATCTGGAGCTCTACATGAACTTCCTCGTTTGTAACAGACAGGATTTGAGATTTCATTAATGTGATTGGACCAAATTCCACTTACGGAGACCAAGACTGAGCAGGCTTTTACTGTTCCCTATACTTTGGATTGGGCAAGTTTGAAATAGTTTTCTTTCACTAATGACAATTAATTCTATAGGCCCCTATTCCATTTCTGATGTTAAAGACCTCACTAAAGACTGCTTTCCTACATCTATTCCTCCCCGAATGTGCTCCTCTGTTACCACTAGGGAAATGCTGACCTGTATAATCTGCGTGATATTTCAGGGTCTCTCTTCCACTGTCAACAGTCCAAATGCACATTAGCTGGGTTGTCAGGCTTGGCTGCATGCACTAGTAACTAAAGGAATTCGTATTAAGAAATGACACCAAAGGAAATGCTAACTAAGCAAGAATAATACATGTATTTGTAGGTTACAAGGGTAAATGTTTCTCCCAAAATTCCTTATCTCAACTTCAATAGTCACCAACTAAATGATATATTAGACCACCCCAGGTTAGACATTACTTCTTTAAATAACATGATCATTACTTAGCAAACAACTTGACCGAACTACACTCAAAACAAAGCATTTTAGAGGGCAGTGTTTCTACGGAAAGCACTTTACAAACTATCCAATTATAAATTCAGATGTGGCAAGAATTTAGCATTAAAACATTTACATAATCTGAAGTATGGTAATAAAAGCTTTCATAAATTCGGGGGGGGGGGGGACAAACAAACAAAACCCTGTGTTACCAAAATTAAAGCATGACCAATAAAAAGAGATGATCTCTCAAGGACTATATGTTAACCAACTCAGGCACAAAAGACATACATATTTCAAAATAATTAACTTGATAATATTTAATTATTTTATTAAAATAGCCTAATTTTTCCTGGGGTTGAAAGGTGTACTTTTTAATTATAACTACTATACTCCGGACCTGAATAAATTAAGAGATTGTGGAATTGCTTTATTTTTATGTATACTTATTTATTCACTGGCTGAATCATGGATTCATTTACTCTAAACTCACTTCTGATTCAAATATTTTCTCTTCCTAAATAACTTTATATGTCTGGCACATTTGGAAATTAAACTTCTCAAATCATCATCTTTCTTTATAAATTCTACTTTTTTTGTACCTAAGCATACAAACATTGGAACACCTCAACTCCTCTTGTATATAAACACATAAGTACTGGAATATCCTTTTTGTATTTCTATGAATTCCAGAAGGTCTATTTGTTTTAAGACCAGGTTTATATACACTACAATTGTTCCTTAAGGGAATTATATATATTTAAACAATATGGTCTAAATAAATATTTTGAGAAAGAGAATATTGTGGCTTCAAAGGAAGTTTTATTCTAAATAACATTTTTGAAACGACATAAAACTTTGACATACTATTTACTCACAATAAAAAAGAACCAATGGGATCACTCTCCAACTTGCCCAGGACTTAAAACAAACAAAAAAAAATTATCAAAAAACTATCAAAGCCAGTTAAGCCTCGAAAAAAATGTACATGCTTTAGAAGGAGGCAGTTGGGAGAGCAGAAATAAGTGAGCTTTGATTTTTATGAGCACATCCATTTCTTTCTTCTTCCAGCTAACCTGTGAGTGCTGCCCACTCACCAATGGGCATGATGAACTATAGAAAACTCAGAGAGGATGAGGAAGTGTCAGAAATGTGACACCAAAATAAGTACAGGCAGAATGTTCCCATGCCTGCAGAGTGCCCTGCAATCTGTTCATCCATTCTCACATGACCAGCATTCCCAACTCCCCACGAACAGTAACAGCAATAATAAACTTCCTTATGCCCACAACGTATTAAAAGTAGTATTTCCTACCTTTACCATGGAGTTCTTGAAAGGGAAATCCATGCACCCAGCACCCAAATGCTTCTACTTCCTCACCGCCACCTACATGCTAATCTGGCAACTGGAGTTCTGCAACTGAAACCTCTGCCTCCAAGAGGAATGTTCTCCTCACCTCTGGTCCCTCTTCTGGGCGCCTTGTCCTCCCAGACCTCAGAGCGGCTTGCAGCCCTCCCTTTCCTTCATAGAGACCAACTATCCGAGTGTTTCTGGCAGCCACTGCCCCGTCTCTCTCCACTGTAAATAAATACAGGTGCTTCCCATGACCAGGCTCTTCGCTTTTTAATTTGGCAATTCCATCCCCGCCTACGGCTTCAAATATCATCACTATGCAAAAACCATCCCATTAAAGCCAGGAACTATGTCAAGGGGCAGGAAATAGAAGGCAGAGTCCTTGTGCTCAAGGACTTCATGGTCAGAGTCTGTGGGCGGTGGGTTTAGAGGAGAGACCTAAGGGCAGGAGGAAGCCCTTAAACAGGTTTGAGAAGCACTGTCTCTCCCTTTTCACTCCTGTCTTTTATGCTATCAAACCAAAGGCAGGACTTTTTAAAATTTATTTTTAACAGTGAATGATTGGTGTTATGCATAACAGATTTACTGGATAATTGGCGTTTTTCTAGATCCTGTGCTAAAAATCTTAAAAACATTAACTTACTTAATCCTCAGAAAATACCATTAGGTTGATACTATTATCCCCTTTTATTTCAAAAACAAGGAAACGGGGTGGGGGGTGGGAAGGGAGGGAGGAAGACCATTAAGTACCTTGTCTAACATTGCTCCGTAGTAAAGTCACAGGAATCAGACACAGGTGTGTGTGAGCTCTCCATCCCTGATTGGAAACCTTGAATTGCAATCTGATTCCAAAGTAGGCAGCCATGGACATGCCCACCATCAACTCCCACCGTGTATTGTTAACTCCTGCTCATCTATCTAATTTCAACTCAAATATAGTACGTCCATTCCCCAGGGCAGGTGCCCTCATCTCCTAATCAAGGCAAAGTCCCTTTAGTCTCCTATTTCACAAGGGATCTTTCTGCCATAGTACTTCTCACAGCTGTGGACATTATATTTATAAATTATCTATAATCTATTATAGATACATATCCTATATAATAAAACCCTAATATGCAAATGGACCCAATGGTGGAACAACCAGTCGCTATTATACACACTGACCACCAGGGAGCAGATGCTCAACAAAGGAGCTGCCCCCTGGTGGTCAGTGGGCTGCTTCCACTGGGGAGCACCACTCAGCCAGAAGCCAGGCTCACAGTTGGCAAGTGCAGTGGTGGTGATGGGAGCCTCTCTTGCATCCACTGCAGGTGGATGGTAAGGAGTGAGAGGTTCTCGATTTTGAGAGCCCCGGACTGCGAGAGGGATGTCTGACTGCAAGAGGGATGTTGGGGGGTGGGAGGGGGAAGAATTGGGCCTAAGCCAGCAGGTGGACATCCTCCGAGGGGTCCTGGACTGCAAGAGGATGCAGGCTGGGCTGAAGGACACCACCCCCACTAACCCCCCCAGCAGCCAAGTGCACGAATTTCATGCACAGGGCCTCTAATGGTGTTATAGTTATCATCTGTATGATTATTTGGTTAAGGTCTGTCTTCCCCTCTAAAATATAAACTCCATTAGGGCAGGGCAAAACGCCCATTGGGCAAATAATAGTGCT